GATATTCGCACGAAAGAGTTGCCTATTGTACGTGTGCGCGGCCCAGCGTAAGATCGACGATATTCGCACGAATAGGGTAGCTGCGCGCCCCCCGCTCTCAGGTGAAGAAACTCGCAGCCTGCGACTTTCGTCCCCTAGGACGACGAAACTCGCTGTGCGATTCTCTGCAAATCGCATACGATTATATACCTGTATAAAGACAAAGACATATCAGTCTACCTGTGAGTTCAGCAATGTTATTCTGCAGTTGTGTTGTCCCACAAGCACTGTGAAGTCTTTGATACCATGTACACTGTCAAGGTGGTCACCCTTCAAAAATAGAGAGGAAGTATAAACTTGAGATTGGTTATACTTTCTATAAAATCCTCCTCTAGTTAAACTGAAGACAGTTTGTGCTTTCTTATTATCTAATTGCAATGACAATACTTTTCCTTGAAGCTTTAATGGGGATAATATGTTAGATATCTGGTACTGTACAACTAAAACAACTGTCAACATTCATTGCCTAAAATATCTGAACTACTGCACATCCTTTTTTTGCTTTTAAATGACCATTATAATTCCAATGACAATACTTTTCCTTGAAGCTCTAATGGGGATAATATATTAGATATCTGGTACAGTAACTGTAACTATCAAACAAAACAACTGTCAACATTCATCTCCTAAAATATCCTCTTTTTCTGCTTTTAAAGATATATGAGAGGTTCACTTTTTCTCACAGTTACATGTACATACCTTGAGCATCAATGTTCTTCCAGATTTTGGATACCTCTTACTGAGGTCAAAACTGAAGAACTCAGGGTCTGGGTAGTAGGTAAAATGTCTCAGGTCTGGGGACGGCTCATCAACCACTCCATCTAACACCAGAGAGAGCTGCACTGTGATTGGCTGTGGAGCTGAAAGTGGGAGGAGCCTGCCAGTGATGTTGGGTGATTGACAGATCATCTGAGTGGACCTGGATGACTCGGAATGGATGCAAGCCTGAAAGGAAAAATTATGTCATATTTCTGAAACATTTTATGCAAAAGTTAATGTCAACTCTACATTCAACGATATGGACCATATGTATTACAGTGTAATTCACAATTTTTTCACAGTACTTTTGGGTTGAACTTCACAGTTTTCGCGGTACTGCGAACTTATCATTACTGTGAACAAATAATTTGCTGACTTTCTTTTTTCTACACCTGCCGCCACAGTGAGCATAAAGTTCCGCAAACATGTAAATTCATGTAATTTCTCAGAACGCAAATTTTTGCTGCCTCGAACGTAAAGTGAATTACAGTATAATATTATATCCCTTTGTGTATAAATCTGCAATATCATGTATTTAATTTTTAGTACTTCAAACATAGCATACTGTTCTAATGCCTAAATGTGTATATACATAATGATTCATAATTAAAACCATTACTGGATAAAGGATTTTGAGTGTCTTATTCTGTGCCTACCTTGCTGAATGAGACCACTTCATTCCCCTGTAGAAAACTGATGTTCATCATAGGCTGAGCCACACTATGTAGGTTCACACCTGTTACATTGAGTTCAGTACCTCCACTGGAAAGAGAAACATTTCATGTTCATATTTTGAAATAGAAGTGTTATTTATCTGTCAATCTGGATGCTGTTTAAATATGAAAAGGTATGTGAAAAAAAGGATCCAAAGTGGCAAGTTATGAAAATTTCTGCCTAGCCTAACAAAATTCTGTTACAAACAAGACATCAAAATCAAAAGAGGGATCTTGCATTACAGTTAGACATCCAATGCTACTAAAGCTATGTAGTTTCAGGGCGACACAACAAATTAATATAATATTCTGGATGATCTGAGGAAATCTGTCTGATATGGACATTTACTGACATTTCTTAGCACCATTCAAGATACTTGAAGCGTTTGAATGTAAGGCGTCTCTTTATTTTTTGGCACCACCCATAAATAGCTAGATCCAGCCCACAATAACTAAACAAGCAACCGTTTTCCATCAGTCAAATATCAGGCAAATGTCAGTGTGCTATGGGACAGGTTTGATTCAAATTACTACATCAATAAAGGATGAGAAAATTGACTCGGAAAATCCAGTTCTGCCAACCTGAATTGTATTGATGCAAAAATGTTCTATTTGTGTATCACCTGCAGGGTTTGAAATTAAAGGTGTTCCAATGGCCACTGACCACTAAAATTTAGGCTGGGACAACTAAAAAGACACTTTGGGACATTTTGGGGACAATAGAAAAATAACATCAGAATGCCAGCCCTTCTTTTGTTTATCAGGCACATGTCCCGGATTTTTGATCCAGAAAAGTCCCCCTGAATTTCCCATCTACTCTGCAATTATAGTGCACCTGGGAGTGAACATAAGCAAAACTAGAGAGGCCGACATTTGCTTGGGAGCAAATACAGCATATTTCAGTCCATCTCCCTCCCACGCAAAAGTGGACTATTCCAAACTTACCCCAGTGTAAAACTGGCAAAGATTCTCAAATAAATGAATTATATAGTATCTATGTAATTGAGAACAAAGATGCAAGAACAAGCACATTGAATCTCGAAAGCTTTACTAATCTTCTTACAGGTATGCAAATACTAACAATGATGAGATTTGATACATTTTGAAGGTCTTAGGCACATAAAATTGAATGTGTGGGTCATTACCCACGACTTACGTGAAATGTGACCTCAGGTAACCCGCAATGGAACACGTGTTCCATGGCCAACGGCAGATGGAACGTGCCATTCTTTAGATAGAACATGGAACGGGTATAGCACTTTTGACCCTTTTTTTTGCTGAAAATAGCCATTAAAGTCCCCCAAATGAGTCATTTGAAAGTGGTGTATGCCAAATATGTGACTGCTGTTCTGTAGACACATGTTCAAGGTACCCTTATACCGAATTTCAGATCATTTGGTTGTAAAACCAGGGCTCAGGATCCAAAAATCCATTTTTTGGCGAAAAATGCCCCAAAAAACCTTCATAAAAATTTTTCAAAGGCATGTATCAAAAAAATGAAAAAAGAGCCTGGGGGTATTGGCTCACTCTACCTCCATGCCAAATTTCAAGTCATTTGGCTGAATGATGGCGGAGTTGAATCCCTTTGACTGTTTGGCAGGAGAAGGAGAAGAAGAAGGAGAAGAAACATCAGAGAACACAATATATTTCATCCATACCATGGTATGGACTGAAATATAATAAAGTTGACTTCAAGTTGAACTTGAAGTCATACAATATTTAAAAAAAAAACAGGTTGGGACAGTTCATCCTCACTTTGGGATAATTGAGATTTATTTTTGGGACAGTGCTGGGACAATAGGAAAAAAAAGTTAATTTCGAGGCCTGACCTGTAGGAGCTTCTCTTTGGGTTGATGTCAGTGACTGTAGGGTTCTCTGTATATGTGTACAAGTCAGCGGCGTATCGTGTGGCTCTGTCCCAAGTCAGCATGACAGGTCCAGACGTCAGTTCAGAAGTTGAGGCAGTCACGCACACCAAAGTATCACCTGAAATACTGGAAAAGAGATGACCATTAGTTAGTAAAATTCTAAAACTTCAAATATTGCCTCCATGGAAACTGATAGCTTGCAAATAACTGCCAAGTACCAGGTTTCTAGCCAGCAACCTGTTTTTCCCGTCAATTGCAAAAACTTTGTGGCATGTGACAGAAAGATTTTTCCAATCCGCAATCCGTCAACCTTGATGGACAAAATTGATGAAAATCTTGGTCACAAATATAAAAACATCCAAAGGACCACCACCAACAACTCTCAACCCCATGATTTGCCTCCCAAAATGTGGAAAATTGTGTTTTTAAAGGTTTGAAAATACAAAATTTGTCCCCGCCCCCCAGATTGGGAGCACTCTTCCCCCAGGTCGGATCATAAGCCTGGGCTGACGGAAAAAGATTTCAAGTTGGCTGGAGCCCTGTGGTGCTTGTCCAGTTCCCCTGAGTGTTGTTACCTGTATCTGTATAGCTGGTATAATCGCCCTTCGGGGTAACACAGCAGCTTCGCAGGCACACGGCAGCAGCTGGCTATATTACAAACATGACCTGTTTCACCCAATCTCTGCACATTTAACTGTAGAAGTTGCTTAAGTGATGATGCCCCAACTGTATATTGATGAAACGATTTCCACTCTACGATTGTTCTTGGAAAATACAAGTCTTTGGATGCCTCAATTCTTGGTTGATAACTCTTACCTCTGGATGTTGCACACCTGTCCTGCTACAGACACCTGAGGGCCACTGCTGGTATCCAGGTGTTGTCCTTTGATGGTTAGAACAGTCCCACCTGCCTTGGGACCTAGTGTTGGACTGATACTTGTCACCACAGGATCCTGTAGTTAATAAATAGATTCTTTATTGACACAACAAAAAAGTACAGAGACTTTTGTATGGTCTTCTACGACTTAACTAAAGATCTAACAAAGCTAAATACATGTGTGGATAACGTTATCTTACGTACAGAGTATATGTATGATGTAACAATAAAGGTTAACTATTCTCTAACATATGTTCTCTAAGATTGAAACATTCTTTAATGTATTTTCCTATTTGAACACTGTATTGGTTATCTCCCCTGAGAATGTAGTTGCATTTATCTATAGGATCTAAGTATTGAAATGAATTGAACAAGCGGAAAGAAAGATAAATGAATGGATGAAAGACCTTTATTGTACATTTGTGCTCTTACAAGCTACTAGTATTAGGAAGTTCAGGTCATGAGTAAGTAAAAAAGTAAGAAAATTAATCACTTTATGTTCGTGGTAGCAAAAGTTCTGAGAAAAATTATACAAGTATAGAGCGTATCTCATGTCTGTGTAATGCACAGTCACCAGCAACATGACACTCAGTTTTATCTAAATTACAATATTGGCAAATTTTTGGCTGCACAGGATCATGCAATAACATTAACGTGAACATTAGACCTGTCCTTGGTGCTGAACCACATACAACTGAATCTGCCAGATTGTGAAATACATGTAAGTTGTTACATTACTTAATAATACTTTGTTGAAACAAATATACACATATACTAGTACACCAGTTGTGTATATGAGGTGCTGTACCTGTCCTTGGTGCTGAATGACATACAACTGAGTCTGTCCAATTTTGAAATACATGTAACATTTCTTGTAAGTTGTGCTTTGCATGAATTGACACTCACCACATAGCTGTAGGGGAGCCTGGAGTAGCCTGTGCCACTGATGGTGTAGCCTAGAACTGCAGACTCCTCATGGACCTCCACTGTCACAAAACCCTGGGCCTCCTCACTGGGGGCTGTGGTGCAAACAATCCTACACACATACACAGTCAACAACAGGATTTACATGTAGGTTTGTGAGCCAAAAAAAGAAGTTTTCGACCATACTGTAAATCATACAAAGCAGCTGCAAACTGAGAAAATACAATGTACATGTAACATCTGTGACCATAATATCACCAGGGTCCATAATATCGCCACCTTGAGAAACAGTGTGCTTGAAGATATTTATACTGCAACATACTTTTGGTATGCACTCCTTCACACTTCAAATGCACATACCTAGGGTATGTTGCAGTAAAAATATCTTTAAACACACTATTTCTCAAGGTGGTGATATTATGGACTCTGGTGATATTATGGACACAGATGTTACATGCCATAAATAAAAAAAAAGAATTTGGAAACGACTTATGTTGTAGAATGCCAAAATCTGAATTCTAAAGGAAAAGCAGAAAAAGTTAAGAAATGAAAATGATGAGTCTATTATTCACCATACCATACTCTGTGTGTTTAGTCATTTGTTCAACATTCATGACCACGTACATTTCATAATGAAAACGTTCCTTTTTTGCCAAACATTTTCCTTTTTTTATTCGCATGCTTGCATCAACTTGGATTTCCAGAGTATGTCAAATCAACATTGCCTAATCGAAAATGATGGGTAATAGTCGCGTGATTGAATGCTTTGCACTTACTTGTTGAAGTCACTTGCATGTTCCAGTAGCATGCACTCCTGTCCCCAGATCCTCACAATGTGTGTGTCAGCCATGGCCATGTCACCCAGGTTGTCTCCCAGGATTGTGATGTTTGTACCTCCATCTACTGGCCCTGATGTAGGACTAAACTGAAGGAAGGAAAATTCGTCTGTTTAATTTGCAAAGGTTTACAGTGTTTTCCAAAGATGACATTGATTCAAAGTCAGACTTTGGAATCTTGCCATTGTATAATACTGAATGTAGATGGTTCTTCTGAGGGGTCATTTGAAATGTGAAGATGTGTGGTGTAGCAGAGTGTTAAGCTCAGAACCAAGAGGTCCCGGGTTCGAATCTTGTCATGTCACTGATCTTGAGCTCTTGTGAAATGCACTATGCACAACTTTCTTCCTTTCAGGTGAAAATGAGTACATAGATTCCCATTGCAAGTTTTCACTAAAGCTACACCAATTTCACTTAATTTTTTTTCTGATTTGAAAAAAAAAAGATTGTAGTTCTGAATCAACTCAAATATGCTCATATTTTGTCCCCTCCTGTTGTAGCATTTGGGGCTATAATAGGATGCGTAGACCTGGTTTTATTTTTTTTCCCTGTCTCTTCATATTTTTTTCTGAATAAATCCGAGAAACAACAAATTAAATTGGTGTGGCCTAATGAATAATAATAATAATGAAGAAGATGATGATGATAAATAATGTTGTTCATTTTTAACGATCAATGGTGATGATGATGATGATAATCATCAAGATAATTAAGCAGGTACAACTGATATGTCATACATCACACTTACTTCGTAGATAACTGGAGGACAGGTATCTCTGGACCACTGGATGTCCCTCATGCAGTCCTGCCTGGTACTGCAGGCCCCTTGTCCTTTGCACCAGCCACACTCCAGACCAGGGTCCTCCACAGTGATACAGGTCCCACAGTCCTGGTACAAGCTACAGCTCTTCAGGGGTAACTTGGTCACCTAGGAACATATAGAGATGTACAACAAGACTGTTATTCACAATATGGTCATGACAGATATTGGTATACATGTACACATGTATGTACAATGTAGGTTTGAGAGCATTGAAATTAGTTTTTGGGAATTATAGGTGAACTGCTGGTGAAGTTAAAAATTGTGTGCACAGAGAATTTTTTGGGTGCACTATATAAAATAAAGAAATAAAATGTGTATTACTATTTTGTATTAATAATGAGTCATTTGGAGCTTTCAAAAAATGCTGAGGAACCCAAATTTTAACTTTAAAATTTTCAACAACTACTACAATTATGCATATGGAAAAAGCTTAATAATGATAACAACTGCTTCAAAATTTCTTTTACATGAAAAAAATGTTCCAGTAAATTCCAATATCAATCATAAAATCAGCAAAGCATTTTCAGCGGAGAAAAATTACCAGTCAGTAACATTCAGTATAAACTGCAATGTCACTTCAAGAAGTTTAAAAATGTAAGCTCCTTGGTACTTAACATAAATACATGTACCAAGTCAGAATTAACAATAAAAGTTCAATTTTGAACCTGAAGAATTAAGGTGTATATACATTGCCATGTAATACTTTAATTACCAACTTTATGGTAGCAAAATTTCGCGGTCTGAGAAAATTGTTCCGGGTGGCTGCAGGTGCAGCAAAAAGAACTCAGCAAGTTATTGTTCACAGTATAAATGATAAGTTTGCAGCACAGAGATGACCATGCAAACTGCAACTATAAAAGTACAGCAAAAAATTGTGATTTACAGTATGCGTGACATGTTCTTTGTTCCCCATATCTCATCACTACAACTGTTTGGCAAAGCCCCAAAGCTAAACACATCAAAGACAACCCCCTTGGGCTGTGAATGGATATTATCGGGCAGATTAACTCCAGTCCTTCCTTTTCTGATTTAAAAACCAGAAGGAAACTTTTCTTACTAGGAAATTGACAGCATAAACAGTCTGGACTGGAAAAGGACAGGAAATGTTCCAATGTAGGAAAAATATCAACTTGGGAGGCAAAAAAACTTGGGTTGCTTTTCAGTTAACAACCATGTGTTTATGAATTTTGAGATTTACAATTTGACCCCTCCCATCTTGACAGTACCCAGAAAGGCTAACACTGTATATGTACCTGGAGTTGCTATAATGGTTGTGCTAGGGTCACGTGGTGCAACGACAGCGTGTTTAACTGAGAACCATTATGTCCCAGGTTCGAATCCTGCCATGTCACCGATCTTGTGCCCTTAGGCCACACCAATTTAATTTCTTGGTTAACGGATTTTTCTAGAAAAATAATGGAGCGGGCGGGCGAAAAAAAAAATAAAAATAAAAACAGGCCTAGGCATCGTATTATGGCCCAAAATGGTACGATAGGAGCCATGAAGTCAACACACCAGGCTGGTTCAAAATTTAAACAATGAATTTTGAAGTTTTAATGATACCATTGCATTGAAAGATGGAATAACTGTAACAACTAGGATAAAAAGGACTGTTTTCAACTGTTCAGGGCAAAATATCAGCATTTTGCAGTTGATTATGGATTTTTATTTTTATTTGCAAATGAGAAAAAAATGAAGCGGCAAATCCGTTAACCAAGAAATTAAATTGGTGTGGCCTTAGGAAAGGCACTTAACACGACTTTCCCAACTTTCCCCAGGTGGAAATGAGTACCTATCTTCAGTTAAGGACGTCCCTCGGATAGGACGTTAAAATGACGTCCCTCAGATAGGACATAAATGGAAGTCCTGTGTGGGGAGAGGCACACCCTATATATATACGCACACTAAGGAACCCACCGCACTTATTAAAAAGAGTAGGGGACCTTCGCTGTGTGACTGTTGCAAACCTTACAGTGTAATGGCTGCACCTGAGTTAGTAGCCTGGTTATCAGACCTATTATAGCTCCCGAGTCCTACATCCTCTGTGGAAAGGATGTAGGACTTGGGAAGTATAATAGGTCTGGTAACCAGGCTACTGAGTTAGTGCCGAATGGCAGCTGCAATTAAGCAACAACTTAGCCCTTGGCTGCAAGGAGACAGTTGCTGGCCCACCCAATAAAAATAACAATGCAGGGCTCAAAATTCATTTTTGGGAATAGGTGCACTGGTGGACCCAACCTAAAAAAATTAGGTGCACAAATTTTTTGGGTGCACCATATGAAACAAAACTGAAATGCAGGTCTTTAACTGCTCCACTTCTGATCTTGGATCTAAAATGAAAATCTTAAACAAGTACTACAACAAAGATTTTATTATTTCTCTGATCCTTTGAGACCAAGAATATCCGGTATACTATGATACATTTCTAATGTCAGAAATTCCTACAAAAATATCAGGGTGCACTAGTGCACCCACAGAAAAAATTAGGTGCACATCTCATTGAATTTTGGGTGCACTAAGGTGCACATGCACCCAGTATTTTGAGCCCAGCAATGACAACAGCACACACACCTGTTGCCCTGCCATGACATACAGGTGCTCCTCGGAGGGGTCCATCTCCATGTCCCTGTTGATGGGACGTCCATGTCCTATATCCAGGCTGATGAGAGGGGAGTTGTCAGTTTCTATATCCAGCATCATCTGGAAAAGAGGATCAGTCCATAATTTTATTAATTTAGTTCAGGCCAGTTCATTTGTTGCTTCTCAGATTGCCCTGTCCATTTTTTCCTGATTTGCAAAAAAAAAAAAAAAATTTTTTTTGTTCTAAATTAACTGCAAAATGCTCAATGAAAGACATATTTTGGCCCCTTTTCTTCCTAGTTCTTAAGTTTTTGAATGTAACGATGCAATTTTGTTTCATTAAAAGTTCAAAATCTATTGTTTTAATTATAAACCAGCCTGATATGTTCACTTCATGGTTCATATTGCTATTAACATTTCAGGCTATCATGGGGTGTCTTGGCCTGTTTTTTTTTTGCCCCATCGCTCCATATTTTTTCTGAGAAACAACAAATTAAATTGTGTGGCCTCATCATAAAACAGCTGGGTAGCCCGTTCAGCTAGTAGAAGCTGCTTTCCAATAGAGCCCAGCATACATTTACACAGGACAAGACATGCTTACATTTAGTCAAGCAACAGGTGGACAACAGTCAAATCTGATGCGTCAAAACAAAAGCATGTCCATAAATTAAAGTCATCATAATGTTCCAATGTCAAAACAATAAAGTCAGTAAATTGGACTGGAGGTCAGAGGTCACTATAAGTTTCATGTGGTCACTATAAGTTTCAGTTTTGGGGTTCCCATTGGATGTCATGCATATATTCAAATCAACATGGCCTTAGTGTAATTGCAATCAACTCCAATGACAGATACATGTACTACAAGAAAATCACTAGCATGTCATGATGACTACAGCTGTTCAAAAATGCAACATACATGTACCTTATGAATGAATCCATCTGCAGTACCAAGCATGGCCACCGTGTGTCCCTGCTGCACTGTGACAGCCAGACTGGTGACCAGCTTGTCAGAGAAGCTGTGTTCATCCAGGACACTGTAGTCATACAGTTCTCCTTCATCCGAAATTTCAATTGGACCAATCACACCAGACCCACAGAAATCTTCATCTATTTCTGTAGTCTGAAAAACAAAAAGTGATAATTATTTTTATGGGTTCACCACACCACGAAGTGGTGGTGAACCCATATTGCTTTTTCTGATGTTTCTTCTCCTCCTTCTCCTTCTTCTCCTGCCATTTTTTAAATGGATTCAGCTTCTTCATTTTAGGGCCCGAGGTCCTGAAATTTGGTATGGAGGTACAGTGGGCAAATACCCCTAGGCGTTTTTTAAATTATTGTGATACAGTCTTTTAGAATGGTTTTATTTGAGTTTTTTGGCTGTGTTATAGCAAATGTATTACTGTGTTAGTGTGCCTTGTTTACCACGTTTGGGCATGAGTCATCACAATGGAATGCAGGGCATCAACCAATAGGCATGCAGCTTTCCTCTATTCTTCTTGCTGATTGGCTGTTGGGATTTAACTTGATTAACAGACTGCACAGAGCATTTCCACCTGCACAGAGCATTTCTTGCTGATTGGCTGTTGGGATTTAACTTGATTAACACCTGCACAGAGCATTTCCATACTGACAGTATGTCTGTATTCAAGTGTTTTGGTAGGGATTTCAAGCTTTCCTGCTCCAGCATTGGAATGCGGGGCATGGACGTTTTTTTTATTTATTTTGAAAATCAACAGTTTGCATTATGCAATTAAAAATCCTAACCAATAAAGTAGGAAATAGCTATCCAACTGTTGTTTTAGTTGTATTTTACTTCATATTATAGTTATATCAATGTAAATCATTGTTTTCCCTTGTGTTTCTCATTCTTTCCCTGCCATGTCGTAAAATGTGGTGAACCCATCGCTGTATTTGCTCCAAAGCAAATATTGGCCTTTCTAGTTTATAACTGCCACTTTAATGATCAGGAAAGAAAGGAGAACCCACCAAAACTAAAACCCACTCATTATATAAAAGTTGGACACTTTGTCTTCCACAGCTTCTAAAAAAGATGACAAACCCAAAAAGTTTAGATTGTATTCTAAATAGAATAGTCACTTGTTTCACATTGTATGTACATGTAATGTTATGTTGTATATGTTGTATGATGCAACTAGCCTTTGGGCATAAATTTGCAAATGAATTTTCTCTACATGTATTTGGTATTGAAATGTGACATCTGTGTCCATAATATCACCAGGGTCCATAATATCACCACCTTGAGAAATAGTGTGCTTAAAGAGATATTTTTACTGCAACATACCCTAGGTATGTACATTTGATGTGTGAAGGAGTGCATACCAAAAGTATGTTGCAGTAAAAATATCTTTAAGCACACTATTTCTCAAGGTGGCGATAGACCCTGGTGATATTATGGACACAGATGTTATCAAATATGACCATTCTTTTCTTCTAATATTAAACCACATTCATTCCTTACTTGACACTTAACTATAAATACCAGCTAAGTTGCCTTCCTATGATGACTAACTCTTGCCTTCAGCAAAAGCCTTCCTGATGACAGACATAAGACAGCAAGCGTGCAAGTTCAGCATGAATAAGCAGATATTTTAACTGCCCACTTTTCTCCTTTACAGGTTGTTGTTGACAACAGACACCTGGTTTCCTGTTGAAAACCAAGATCTGTAACCGAGTTACTGTAATTCACAATTTTTTCACAGTACTTTATACATGTATTTGCGGTTTCCCAGTCACTTCTGTACTGCAAACTTATCAGTACCGTGAACAAATAATTTCCTGACATTCTTTTTGCTGGACCTGTAGTCACTGTGAATGTATAGTTCTGCAAACATGTCCATTTTTCTCAGACCGCAAACTTTTGCTACTGCAAACATAAAGTGACTTACAGTACTCAAATCAGGAACTACAACTTGTTCTTTACATCCAAGAACACCCATGTAAAAGTCAATGGGTGTTAAGGCCACCCCAATTTAATTTGTTGTTTCTTGGATTCACCCTGTCCATTTTTTTCTGATTTGCAAAAAAAAAAAAAAAAGACTTAAGGTTCTGAATCAAATGCAAAATGCTCAATGAAAGACATATTTTGGCCCCAACAGTTGAAGAAAGTCCTTTTCTTCCCACTTAAATTGTTTATAATAAAGTTTTACAATGTAACAATGCAACTTTGTTTCATTAAAAGTTCAAAATCTATTGTTTTAATTATAAACCAGCCCGGTTTGTTGACTTCATGGCTCATATCATAACATTTCCGGTCTTCATGGGTGCCTTGGCCTGTTTTCTTTTTTTTATTTTCGCCCTGTCGCTTCATATTTTTTCTGAAAAAATCCCAGAAACAATTAATTGAATTGGTGTGGCCCCAAAAAACTCAATGTATGTAAAACTTAATATCCTTCCTACAAGACTGAATGAGAGCATATGTTTTCACTCTTTCAGATTGAGTCATAGCTGGCCGCCTTACACTTATCAGGGTAAGAATTTTATCTGTAGAAAGACCATGTTTCACGGCCTGAAATTTACTAAAACATAAACTTTGCAACTCTGCACTGTAGGTCTAAGATGCAAACAAGGCTTTTAAAAAAAGTTGTGTTTACTGTGAAAACATGGACCTTGAGAGAAAATATAGGGGAGCTGTATTTACTGTAATTTACTTTATGTTTAGGGTAGCAAAAGTTTGTGGTCTGAGAAAAATGGACATGTTCGCAGTGGCAGCAGGTACAGCAAAAAAAAAAGTTGGCAAATTGTAATGATGTAATATTCACTGTAATGATAAATTTGTGCAAAAACAGCGAATATAAAAGTACCGTAAAAAAAGTGATTTACAGTAACTTGAACCACTTACTGTCTGTTAACAGACCCTGTTATACAGGAGTGACTGCGAAAACCAGCGAATATATCAAAGTACCTAAAAACCGTAATTTACAGTAACTCGAACAACTTACTGTCTGCTGACAGACCCTGCTGTGCCCTGGCTGGTACAGGAATTCCAGCCCAGGCTGTCCCTGACCTCCGTAACATTCCTGAATTCCATCCTGAAAATGTGCACGGACATCCGACATAGGGAAGGTGCACAGCACCGAGCTGTTCTTGGGGACAGCGCTGTCCTCAGATTCACTCTCTGCGAAGACAGCAAACAAAACCTCATCTGTAGTTGTCATATGAGGGTGTGCGTGGGTCAGGTTCAGTCCAGGCTTGTGCAGTGTTGCAGCCTGTATGATCCCGTAGTTCTTTTCATCATGTCCGTAACAAGTGATGGGGAGTTCGGTGTAAGAGAAATACGCTCTGTCGTTCTGGCAAACGCGAACAAGTCTGGAGTGATAGGACTGCGAGTCGACGGACGTCTTCTGAACCGTGAGGAAGTAGCTGAATCCACCGTGGCTGAAACCGTCCACGTATTTGATCCTGTAATCCGATGCATAGTCGCCATTCACCGAGACATACGAACGTTGATGCTGAGTACTTAGACCGAAGTCGATTTTGTATTCTGAGGTGTGGCTGAGCGTTCTTGTTGAAACTGCTGGGATGGAGAACTCAGGTGGTTTGGTGGGATCATATTCTGCTGCGACGTACAAACCGTGGGTACCATCGTGCCCAGGTGCAAAGAAGGCGACAGCTGATTCCCCCGAGGCTACATACTTGGCTTTGCCATCATCATCATCGTTGAGAACATACTGTCCTGTCGCAATGTCTCCTAGAGGGTGAACAGAACAGGTGCCCTGCAGTACCGACCCACATGCTAGGAGAACACCGAGTGACTGGTCAACAAGTAGGATCTTGTTCTCATTGTCAGAAAGTACCTTCCCCTCCCTGCAATGTTGAGCAAATGGTTGACACTTTGAACTGTCCCAAACCGGCCCTGTCTTGTAGCTTTTCTGCAGCTCCAGGTCAGCTGACAGCTGGTATAAGACGTTAGTTGCTCCCAGGTAGACCCTTCCAGAGTTGTTGTCCACGGTTAAGTGTTGAAGTCTGTGTCCTAACTCCCCGGATTGGAAGTTTGGGAATTCCTTGGAATTCTGGCTGTTCCCTGCAGCGAATAGCAGACACAGGGTCACACTAAAGTTCAGAAAACACATAAAACCCGGGGGTGCCATCCTGAGTGCACAGTTGTGATTGGGACGGTCTAAGATAGAGACGAACACACACAGGAACAACACCAAGCTATCCCTGCAAACTAACGGACTGAGAGTGAGAAGGAGGAAGTAAAAAAGTTGCTGACAAGAGTTTCTGAAGTTTGGTAGACTTCCCGGTCGAGGCACCACCACTTCCGGTCCGCCTGCCAAAATTAAAGCATGACAACACACCCAGCATGTGACTCATCAGAACACTCACAAACACGTCCAACCACATGTTAGACTGCACTGTAACTTTCGAGATAAAAAGCTGAGGGTTTTGAGAAGGATTGGGGAAGTAATTTGTCATCATCCCTGGAAAAGAGGAAGGCTGTTTTGTTTCCTCGCTTCTGCTTTTTAATTATACTCCTGGGTGGGTGTCAAACTAGTATCGGGCCGTTAGCCGTTTTCCTTCGGCAGCCAAGAGCCCTTCGCCCGCCTATCTAAATTACTGTTACGGAGTTGAGCCCAGGAGAA